ATATTTCCCTAAAGCAAGCAGTGTGTGAGTGTGTCGATTTACGCTGGATAAACAGCCAGTGAATTGTGTGTGTGTGTGTGTGTGTGTGTGTATGTGTGTGTATATGTGTATGTGTATGTGTGTGTGTATGTTGTGTGTGAATGTGAACTTGATTTATGCTGGATAAACAGCCAGTGAATTGTGTGTGTGTGTGTGTGTGTGTGTGTGTGTGTGTGTGTGTGTGTGTGTGTGTGTGTGTGTGTGTGTGTGTGTGTGTGTGTGTGTGTGTGTGTGTGTGTGTGTGTGTGTGTGTGTGTGTGTGTGTGTGATTGCGTGTCTCCTCTCACCTGCTCGTTGGTGGTTCGACCTCGGGCTACGAGCACCATGTGGAAGCCAGTGAGCCCCAGGACTGGAATAAAGAAGAGCCCCGCGATGCACATCACCACCAGTCTGCACCCCAAGGTCAAGATCAACAACAACACAGTGACAAGAAAAAACAACCACAAGTTCTATAACTATAACTATAACCTGCCACTACTATAGACAGTAGAATATCTTTCTGAAAATATAATAAACAACCAAGTCAATAATAAAAAGAAGCAGGGTTTGTAGTTGGATTTCAAGTGGTCGAAGCCATTGTTGGGCATTAGTGAACGACATGCAGAGGATACAAAAAGTCCTCAGATCCTTTAGTTAAGTAAAAATAAGTTAGAAATACTCAGAAGGGAAAATTCTGCTTACAAAAAATTTTTACTTAAGTAAAAACACAAAAGCATTAGCATCCAAATACACTTAAAGTACGAAAACTAAAAGTGTTTTTCTTCCATTTTATTGTATAATAATTGACTAGTCATGCTCCTTTTTTTAGCATTGTGAAAAAGCACTATATGAATGCCATATATTTATTATTATTATTCAATTTCTTTCAAATATAAATCAGATATTTTTTAGTAGGGTACTTGGATAGATTTTAAAGATAGAGACACATTTTTCTTGCATTTAAAAGTTTTGAATATTCATTTATTTTATAGTTTTTCAAGTACATTTTGAATTCCCTCATTCTTTTACAACGTACTTTTAACAACCTTCTAGTTGTAGTTGTATTCTGGATTCCTACATAGAGTACATTTGCTGTACAGTTCAGCTCCTTCCAGTGTAATAATAGCTTGCAGAGTTTTTTAAAAGTATTTTCCCACAGTGTTGGAAGGATACGTGACGGTGGTGTGCAGCGCTGCCAGAGACTCTCGGTGGTGGAGGACGAAGATAAGGCCGGAGGAGAAGACGCCCAGCATGTGGATGCTCAGCGACAGCAGGAAGAGGAAGAAGTAACGGTAGTTCCTCCGCCCGATGCAGTTATTCACCCAGGGGCAGTGGTGGTCGAAGTCCTGAGGAGAGAGAGAGAGGAAGCGAGGTACACTTTGAACATTTATGTAAGTTGTCCAAACGGTATTCAATTATCCTCTCTTATAGTTAGGGGTGAGGAAATGTTCCAATCAAGTATTCAATCAATAATGCTTTTTTCTCAGTTCTGTTTCTTGTAATTATTTTGTTTTCTATAATCCCAAATGTCCCGTATCATCAATTCTTATTTACAAGTCACTTTGGAAATAACTGTATTACTAGACAGACATCGAGAGCTTGTTTTGCTTTTTCTGTTTCAAAAACGAACAAAAGGAAACACACTGTTGAATTCAGACGAATGAAAATATGAAGTAGTTTGGGATCACATATTACACATTCATTAAATTAAACTGTTTGCTTTCAATGCTCGTTAAAGGTTTTTAGTGAAGCAAGGACCATGCATACAAATACATTAATTTCAAAAAGAGAAAAAAAGATTTATGCCAGATTTGAGCAAATTGCTAATTTCCCCGGGCAGAACTACAATCAAAAACCCTAAAAACATTACTTAGTGTCTATCACACTAACACTTTTAAAGTACAGATCTATAAAATACAAATATTGGTGTTGAAATAAGCTATATAAATAAACCTGCTTTGCCTTACATCACATCAATGTGTCTAACCTGGAGCGATATATAGATTTTTTTTACATTATATTTATTGGGTTTTTCAACATAGGAAGAACATACAGTCACACTCCTGATGCTATATTTAGATTAGAGTGCCGGCATGCATACTGAACATACAAAGCACACACACACACACACACACACACACACACACACACACACACACACACACACACACACACACACACACACACACAAACCTCCACGCAGTTGTCACAGACGCTGCAGTGAGAGCAGCGCGGCGGCCTGTAGAAGTGACAGGTGGCGCACCACTTCATGCGGACCTGGATGCCCTTGATCTCCACGTTTTTGTAGAGCGGCGCTCGGAAATCATCGTCCTTGTCCTCGTCCTCGTCCGCTGTGGGGAAACAAAGACAAATTAACACATGCATATTGTGAAGTGTGAATCAAACAGTCACAAACACCAGAAATGGCAAAAGTACACACATCCTTTACTCAAAGTAGAATTCCAGATACTTGTGTTTAAAAATACTCTGGTAAAAGTAGAAGTACTGACTAAACTTCTTTACTCAAGTCAAAGTAAAGAGCTTTGAAATGTACTTCAGTAAAAAGTACCCATAACTAGCAGCTGTTTTAGAGAGTACCTGACCTCCCTTTATATTAATAGAACAATAATGTCATTGTTAGCTAATGAATGTTTCCATGGTGAATAACGGCAACATGACAACGTTTTCATTGGTCCCTC